AAGTCCACAGGCACCTACGTCGACGAGGTTCCCCCACCTGGGGCGAACATCGTCAGTGGCATGTGGATTTTCAGGGTGAAGCGGCCGCCGGGTTCTCCGCCTGTCTTCAAGGCGCGTTACGTTGCACGAGGCTTCAGTCAGCGAGAGGGAGTTGACTTCTTCCAGACCTTCTCCCCGACCCCGAAGATGACCACTCTTCGGGTTCTGCTGCACGTCGCCGCTCAGCGTGACTACGAGCTCCACTCTCTTGACTTCAGCACTGCTTTTCTACTGGGCAGCCTGCACGAGGAGATCTGGCTGCGCCGCCCACCTGGCTTCACTGGGTCGTTCCCTGCTGGTACCCAGTGGAGCCTCCGGCGGCCAGTCTACGGTCTCCGCCAGGCACCCCGTGAGTGGCACGACACACTGAGGACTACTCTTGCTGCTCTTGGGTTTGCTCCTTCTACTGCTGACCCGTCGCTGTTTCTACGCACCGACACCACTCTGCCGCCGTTCTACGTTCTCGTGTACGTAGACGACTTGATCTTTGCTACTGCTGACACTGAGGCACTCGCCCACGTGAAGTCGGAGCTGCAGAAGAGACACACGTGCACAGACCTGGGTGAGCTGACAAGCTATCTTGGCTTGCGGATCACCCGGGATAGAGCACAGCGCACCATCACCTTGACTCAGTCACACATGGTGCAGCAGGTCCTTCAGCGCTTCCGCTTCACGTACTCCTCGCCTCAGTCCACTCCTCTACCTACCGGTCACTTGCTCTCAGCTCTGCCTTCGGATGAGTCCGTAGAGCCGAGTGGCCCGTATCCAGAGCTTGTGGGCTGCCTCATGTACCTGATGACCTGCACTCGACCTGACCTTGCATACCCTCTTAGCATCCTAGCACGCTATGTCGCTCCTGGCCGTCACCGGAAGGAGCACATGGATGCCGCTAAGAGGGTGTTGCGCTACTTGTGCAGTACGTCGGGCATGGGGCTTGTGCTTGGAGGACGGAGCGACGTTGTCCTCACTGGGAACTCAGACGCTTCTTGGGCTGACGACCAGGCTACGCAGCGGTCGTCTCAGGGTTACACCTTCAGCCTTGGCTCTGGTTCAGTTTCTTGGCGTTCTACACGCTCATCTTCAGTTCTCAGCTCCAGTTGTGAGGCTGAGATCTACGCCACAGCCATGGCTGCACAGGAGTTACGCTGGCTCACCTACCCACTGACCGACCTGGGAGAGCGGCCTCGTTCTCCTCCAGTGCTGTACGTCGACAACAAGGCCGCCATTGCCTTGTGTCAGGAGCACAGACTGGAGCACAGAACGAAGCACATCGCTCTGCGCTACTTCCTTGCTCGAGAGCTGCAGCAGCGTGGTCAGCTTCGTCTTGCTTACGTGGCCTCTCGGGCCAACACTGCTGATGTGTTCACCAAGGCGCTTCAGCCTTGTGACCATCAGCGTTTCTGTACTGTTCTAGGCCTTGTGCCTACTGTGCCTCACTTGCTTACTTCTTGACTCTGCTTGTACTGTGATCTCTATATATATATATACCTGCATGCTTACACTTGCTAGGTTGTGATCACTGTACCTCTTGTTATATTATCAAACTGCATGTGAACTGGTCTTGTGACCGCTTGCTTGTGCTCAGAATTTGTGTGGTTTCCTTGAGATCCACCCTGAGCTTGCTTTGCTTTGCTTTGACTGGTCTTGTGACCATCTGGTTGTCTCCCACTTAGCCTATGGGGGTGTGTCAAACATTATACATATTCCTATTGTGTAGGCTATAGTGGGTTTAGCCTTAGGGGGTACAACATTGCTAGGGTTTCCTACTTGTATCACCCTGCTGCCTAGTTTCATCCATTCTCGTTCAGTTCTACATTCTAACAGAAGGTGCAGATTCTCGGGCACATGGTGAGTGCGGAAGGCGTACACGTGGACCCACGTAAGATCGAAGTCGTAAAGAAGTGGAAGAGTTGCAGCAGTTCCTAGGCTTCGCCAACTACTACTACAGGTTCGTGCCACAGTACGCTAAGATAGCAGCTGGTTCTTGAGAACGTGAAAGAGTTGCAACAGTTCCTAGGCTGTGCCACACTACGCTAAGATAGCAGCGCCATTGACGAACTTACTGAAAAATGATACGCCCTAAAAATGGGATACTCCTCAACAGCAAGCTATGGAGAAGCTACAGATAGCACTGACTACAGCGCCAGTACTCATCCTACTGGATCCAGACAGAGATTACGTGGTGGAAGAAGATTCTAGTGACCAGGCAGTCGGAGTAGTACTGATGCAGGATCACGGACACGGCTTGCAACCCATCGCATATCTCAGTAAGAAGCTACACGGAGCAGAACTGAATTACCCAATCCATGACAAGGAAGCATTAGCGATAGTCACAGCCTTCAAGGCGTGGAGGTGTTTCATAAAGGGAGCCAAGACTACAGTATACACTGACCACTGTAGTCTCAATTACCTTATGTCGCAGCCTACGCTCTCACGACGACAGGCGCGGTGGATGGACTTCCTGGAAACAAACTTCTAGTACGACATCGTCTACATGCCAGGGCTACACAACAAGGCCGACGCGCTGAGCCGCCCAGGGCATGTAGCAGGCATCTAGCTCAACGGGATGAACCATCTTCTCAAGGGTCTATTCCAACATGGGTACTCCGTGGACGCATGGATCGCCACAGCATAGAAACATAACATTTTACAGTGGGAGAAAGACTTAGCGGTAAAGAAGGGTTCAGGAAAAAATTGGGTACCGAACTATGGCCCGCTCTGACAGATTACTGGAGGAGTTTCATAACGTAGCATACGCGGGACATTTTGGGAGTAACAAGACGTTAGCGGGAAAATCCCAGGATGGCAGCAGACGTGCAGCAGTTCGTCACCTCATGCGACACGTGCTTGCGGATGAAGAGTAGCAAGCAGGAAAAAGCCGGGTTACTTCAGCCTCTACCCGTACCGGACAAGCCTCGTTAGCCACGACTTTACT